TTTTATTTTTGAGCCTGCAGCAACTTCCTACCATAGGAAAAATTTCTATGAGGTGGAGTAGATGGAAGACTGAGATTATGGGCATGGTGTATTTTGTAAATTACATACTCAATAAATGATCATATTGTTATATTTAGGATGACTTTCTGTGTTCCTACTCCAAACTCAAGTCCTGTCAAAATCATCAGGCAAACCTGCACTCAATTACAAATAGTCACCATCACCATCACTTAAAATGGTAAACTTGTATAGTGGTTAATGTCTCATGCAAACAGGAACTTTGTGCCATAGAAGTGACAGTAAATACTGTGTGTATAACTCTACTCTTTGCATCAGTTACATTTGATTATCTCAACATTTGATTATTTCAACAAACCTAAGCAGTTACCGTGTTTGCCTTTTGTTGTTCCTGTTTAACAACTTTAGAAACTGAAACTTAGAAAGTTCAGCTAGTTGATCAAGGAAATAATTAGTAAAAGTTGAGACTGGGATATAAAATAAGTATTCTCTTTCAAGACAATTGACTTTATCTTCTCAGCTACTTTTTTTCTTTTTTCTTTTTGGATCATACCCAACAATGCTCAGAGGTTACTCCTGGCTCATGCACTCAGGAATCACTCCTGGAGGTGCTCGGGGGACCATATGGGATGCTGGGAATTGAACCTGTATCGGCCAAGTTGGCTGCGTGCAAGGCAAACGCCCTACCCATTGTGCTATCACTCCAGCCCTTCTCAGCTACTTTTCTCCCATTATTATTCTATTTCTTTCTCACACACAACTTGAAAGTTCACTGATAAAAATGACCTTTTTCCCATGCCAGAGACACAATACAGATGTTAAAGTTCTTACCCTCCATATCACTCAACCCTATTTGATCCCTGGGACCATACATTGTCCTAAACATGGAGCATTATCTATTGCAGCCTGGGAGGCCCCTGACCACCCAAGGGTGTGGGTCAAGATGCCCCTGAGCACCATAGGGTGACCTGCATAATCCCAGAACTGCAGGGCCAAGAGTCACACCACATCCTCATGTCCTCGTTTTGTGACTGAGGCTTGCCTGGACAAGCTCCTGGGCCTCCTGAACACATATTGGGCAATCATCACCTAAAAGTAATTAAAATAAAACATATATTTTCCTTGCATACAAAATTTTGAATCACAGAGCATGTAAACGATGGAAATTCAGCTCCACACTACACTTACTATTGCATCTATATTTGGCCGTATGATGGGACAATGGCCATAATAAAATAACAAGCTGTAAGTAGCACTGCACTGTAGCACTGTCCTCCCATTGTTCATCGATTTGCTTGAGCAGGCACAGTAACATCTCCATTGCAAGACTTGTTGTTACTGTTTTTGGCATATCGAATCCGCCACAGGGAGCTTACCAGGCTCTGCCATGCACGTGAGATACTCTCGGTAGCTTGCCAGGCTCTCTGAGAGGGGCAAAGGAATTGAACCCTGGTTGCTTCGTGCAAGGCAAACGCCCTTCCCACTGTGCTATCTCTCCACTCCAATGGTCATAATAAAATAACAAGTTGCAGTAATCAACAAAAATAGTTATTATCATAATCAGCCTTGTTAGAGTAGTCTCCCAGAAGAATATCCCTACTTTCATTTAATGATCATTCTTTATGCAATATGAATAGTTCAGAAAATGCTTTGTTTTGTAAACAAATATGAGTAAGAAATCTTCAACATTATCACAATAGAAAGTATCGATGAAGAAGAGCTAATATTCTTCAAAAGTTTGTTGTCCACTCTGTCCTTCTGCACTATGACTTAACAGTGGAATTCTCTGAGAAGATTTTAAGAAATACTCTGACTCTTCCCCATATTGACCTTCCATGGATCTGAAATAGATCATAGGGAGCTAAAAACGTTTTCAAAACCACGTTGCAATAGGAAAGCAGACTAGAAAGAGATCATTTCTGTGATTGGTATATACATGTGGATATTATATGTATATATTATATATTACATATAATTGAATACATATAAAATCCAAAATATATAGATTAAAAACCTATAATAATATATTTTGTAGATTCAAAATATGCAGCTATGATGGGTAAAATTCAAGAGTCCTCAAGAAATAGTCCAAAGTGTTTCATAATAAGATGGAACTATTCCAACTGCAGAATAATCAGTCTCAAACTTCTCTGCTCAAAAGTACCCACCCCACACATAAACACAGTGTGCCACTGTGCACAAAAGTATTTGGGTGTATTTTTTTCTTTGTGAAGGCATTTCTTAATCTGAGTCATCCATTGGAAGGTAATTTTAGATGACAGTCACTTCTGACTATTTGTTCACTTTTTCCAATGCTGCGGAAGTGACTGGAACTGAATGCTCATTAACTTAACATCATACCGAGTACAGTTCTTGACTTTATTTTTCTGATAATGTGTTACTTCACAAGTAAGGCAAAGCCTTCCTCCTTCATTAAAAAAATCCAAGTAAACACAAAAGCCAATAAAAGTAAGACAAACAAAAGGCTGCATGAAAGAGCACACTCTTTCTCTGAACTGTCTGTTCTTTAAGAACTCTTCAAACCTATTTCTTGCTATTCATTTTTAAAACTACTTTGAACTAATTTTAGATATAGAGAAGAGTTGCTAAAATAGTTCTTGTGTGTTCCGTATTCAGTTTCCCCTCAGTTTCATCTCTTAAGTAAACCTAGAGCAAGAATTACAATGAGAATGTCTTTGTTTATAACGACTTTTTTTGTTGGTGGTACTCAGTGCTAATGTTAGTACAGAACTGGTCTGATTTCCTAATCTCTTATTCCGCCTCCAGTGAAATCTGGAAGCACTAAAATTGAGAGATCCAGCACATAATCCTTACCTGAATCCAGCAACCCCACCCCAAACCCCAGAAAGTGTCCCCTGTATTTATTCCAAACTTAGCTTTGATGTCTGATTTTTCTGGTAACATGTCCCCCCAATTTTCACCTTCCCAGTTTTCTTCTCATCCTCCTCCTTTCCCTTGTGTGGTTTTCACAATTCTTCTCCATTTCACATGATGCTTCTTCATTTCACATGATAAAGAACCAGAAATATTATTTCATGTTCTCATTTTCATCAGTTAGATGATGAGTTCCTTGTAACAGTGAGATATCATTATTTTTTAAATATTTTTCCTATGTCTGGTGGAATTTATTACATAACTGATATTCTGTGCCTCTGCTGACTCCTCCCTCCCTCCCTCCCTCCCTCCCTCTCACCCTTCCTTCCTTCCTTCCTTCCTTCCTTCCTTCCTTCCTTCCTTCCTTCCTTCCTTCCTTCCTTCCTTCCTTCCTTCCTATTGTGTGGAACCTCTGCGTCATTATTCTGAGATGTAATTTCAATTTTAGAATGATCATTGTTCAACTAATATTCTCATTATGTTCTTCTTCATTGTGAGTGTTAATTCAAAACTGTTTCAACAAGATTTTGCTGGGCAAATTTCTTTAAAAAAAAAACAATAAATAAACAGACAAAACAAAAGCAATTTACTTTATTTCACTGATTCACAGAAGTTGCACAAATTCATCCTAGACCTGTAGACCAGCAACTGGGAGTGTTGACAGCTCAGTGCTGATGATTGCTCAGCTGAAAGTGAGCTGGTCTAAGATCTAGAGCCCATTCTCATGGCATGTTCACACCTAATGCCTAGTCAGCACAGGAGTCTGAAGGTCTGGTTCCCTTTTCTTGATGAGCATGCCCCTCCCTTGACAGCCCCCAGTGGACGGAGTTTATTGGTGCATCATACCCTCAAAACTTCTTCTGTCCAATCTTTTCACTTTCCAGCGGGGACTGATAGATAGAGGAATCTCCCTAGCAACAGTTCTTCAAGAGATCTTTTTCTCAGAGTTCACCTTTTAGAAAGCATATGTGGCATCTGCTTACAATTTCTCCCTAAATCATCAGATGATTTGCTCTTTTGCTCATTTATTTTATACATATAAAGATATATATAGATATAAGATATATATACATATATACATATATATATATATATATATATATATATATACAATCTAGTTCCACCTGGATGAGGAAGACATCAATATCATAGAAAGTGATTCTTCTTACCACAAAAGACTTTTCCAATTCCTTTATAGTTTCAACAATTTCTAGAAAGTTTCTCAGATTGATTATTATTGTGTATCCTTGACTTACTGTGTAGAATTTCTTCTCTGTCATTCCCCTGATTAAATTTTACCTGTCTTATAATTTCACCCAAATACAGTGTCTCAGCTATTCCTGACCACCTTGTGTGTGTGGGCTAAGTGAGGAATTGAAACTCGCTGGTGTTCAACTGAATGTGTATGTGTAATTACCATCCTCCCTCCTACCATCAGACTTAGCTACTTGAATGTTTATTTTCACCCTATTTCATACCAGATAATCTTTCAGTGCTCAATTGCTGAATGAGTAAGTGAATTAAAAATTGTCTGAGAAAAAGCTTTGATTCTGTTGTCTTTAAGACGAATTTCTTAAACATACTGATAGCTCAATGTTTCCAGTCTAATTTTCTGTAAAATTTATAAAAGAATAGTAACTTCCTTGATATTTCTATAGTTTTTTTTTCCAGTAGCCAGTTTCTCCAGGTACATTCAGTTGTGCTTTTGTATATAAGATGTTACATATTAGATCTTGTTATTGACCTTATCTTTCATATTCCTTTGATAGATTTTCCTTGTCATAGTCTTTAAGTCTCCAGGAATTTGCCATTGGAATCTTTTAAATAAAAATCATAAATGAATTTTTAAAAGTGCAAATTGCAAAAGGGCTCTCATTGTATAGTACCTAATCTAACAATGCTTTTTCTTTTAAAAGACTTGGATGCTGAGGAAGTCATAAGAAGAGTTTTGTTTCGGAATTATTTTTAAAAGTTTTTTTTCTTTTTATTTGAACACACGGATTTCTGTATTATATGCTTGGCAAAGTTGGCTCCTGGCAAAGAATAACATGTTACTTATTATCTCTTCCCACCCCTCTCCTTTCTAGGTACGTCTGTCACTAATGTAACAGCTACTGATGCTGATGACCCAGTTTATGGAAATAGTGCGAAGTTGGTTTATAGTATCTTGGAAGGGCAGCCTTATTTTTCCATTGAGCCTGAAACAGGTTTGTGGCCTAAATTTTGAATTCTATTTGCCATGTTACTGCTTCAGGAAAAGACTTTTCTTGGGATTTGGATTATGAAATGTTATGGTTAAGTACTTTACTGCTGGTATCAATAATATTTGAATGTGTTATTTCTGTGCAATGTGAGCTACATGGTAAAGCCAACAATTATTTCAATCCTGATTAAAACAAATTGCAGATCTTTGTAGAATATCACCTATTTAACAGATGGCCTGGCACCATTTTTTATCTTGGGGAAAATATGTGCTTATATGTCAGGCAGTCTTAAATATCAGATTTCGGAATAAACTCAGTTACTTACTGGCGCTGTAATGCTTGGCAAGTAACACTTATAAATCTTTGTAAGTTTTAGCTCCCACATCTATAAATTGGGTATGGAACCCAACCTCAGTTTTTTTTATGATGACGATCAGATGAATCAATTAATATCACACATACAGTGCCTGGTGTGTGGTAATCATTCATTGTATGAATATATTGCACTTGCTATTACATGTGCCCTCATTTGTAAAACAGAATACTGACATATACTCACTAGAGTTCTTCATGAAAATGCGGCTGATAGCAAATCAAGCCAATAGCAAGAGTCTGGTGTTAGAGAGTTTAGCAACCATAAGGTAGGAAATTTTATAAAAAAAAATTATTTTAATCAATATAAACAACTCTTAATATCTTTTGTAAATGGGATTTTGATTGTTTAATTTTAAGAAAAAAGTTGAAGTTTTTATAATTCTCTAAGATTTTGTAAGTTTTAGATACGGTATTTAGGGATAACACACTCTTGTATTATTTTTCTTGTCTTTTTGGAAGTTCTAGCTATAAATTTCCAAATAGAAAAAATTCAATATATACACATATATACCTATAGTATAATTTCTTTGATTCATGACTTCATAGAGTTTTGAGATCGATTTTCATGCCTTAGCCTAACATCAATTACTAGTTGACGTAAAAATTTAAAGTTTCTCCTTGCTTTTTAAAATTCAAAGAGTAAAATGCTCATGCAGTTAAAAGTGAGAAAAAGAACATTTACACATAAATAGGTCATAGCTGAAAATTGAATTTAGATTTGGAAACAGGAAAGAAATCTTTTAAAATACATTAATTAGGAGCATAATTATAGATTCTTCCGCAGAGAAGAAGGAAGTCTGTCATAACCTTCATCTCATTTGGGATCCTTGATGATATTGAGGCAGTGATAGGGAATATAGTTGTCTCTAGGGCTCAAGGGGAAAATAAAATGTCAAAAGAGATGCCATTACTTGAAAAAAATCACAATGACAAATTGGGGTACAGACTTGAGACTCATACCAAGGCACTTAATTTTATTTATTTGTTTAAAATTTTTATTAGTGAAACACCATGAGGTACAGTTGTAGACTTACAAATTTTTGTGCTTGGGTTTCATTTATACAATGTTTGAGTACCCATCCCTTCACGAGCGCCCATTCTCCACCACCACAGATCCCAGTATCCCTCCCACCCTCGATCCCCTCAATCCCACTCTCCCTCTGTGGCAAGGCATTCCCTTTTGTTCTCTCTCTCCTTTTGGGTGCTGTGGTTTGCAAAAGAGGAATTGAGTGGCAATCATGTTCGGTCTGTAGTCTACTTTCAGCATGCATCTCCCATCCTGGGTGGATCCTCCCAACACCTTTTATTTGGTGCTCCCTTCTCTATCTGAGCTGCCTTTTCCCCTAGCGTGTGTGGCTGGCCTCCAAGTCATGGAGTAAACCTCCTGGTATTTATCTCGGCTATTCTTGGGTGTTAGTCTCCTACTTTGTTACTTTATGTTCCAAAGATGAATGCAATTTTTCTATGTCTGTCCCTCTCTTTCTGACTCATTTCACTTAGCACGATACTTCCCATGTAGTACCACTTGTTTGTAAATTTCATGAGTTCATTTTTTCTAATAGCAACATAGTACTCCGTTGTGTAGATGACCAAAGTTTCTTTAACCTGTTCTCTTTAATCTGTTCTCGGGCACTCAGGTTTTTTTCCAGATTCTAGCTATTGTAAACAGTGCCACAATGAACAAACAAGTGCAGATGTCACTTCGACTATACTTTTTTGCCTCTTCAGCATATATTTCCCAGGAGTGGTATTGCTGGGTCAAATGGGAGCTCAATTTCTAATTTTTTGAGAATTGTCCATACTGTTATCCAAAAGGGCTGAATCAGTTGGCATTCCCACCAGCAATGAAGGAGGGCCCCTTTCTCGCCACATCCGTGCCAACACAGGTTGCTTCTGTTATTTTGAATGTGGGCCAGTCTCTGTGGTGTGAGATGGTATCTCATTGTTGTTTTGATCTGCATCTCCCTGATGATTAATGATGTAGAGCATTTCTTATGTGGCTTTTAGCCATTCAGATTTCTTCTTTGAGAAAGTTTCTGTTCATTTTGTCGCCCCATTTTTTAATGGGGTTGGATGTTTTCTTCTTGTGGAGTTCAACCAGTACTTTGTATATCCTTGATATCAATCCCTTGTCAGATGTGTATTCAGCAAACATCCTTTTCTATTATGTAGACTGTCTTTGTATTTTGGTCATTGTTTCTTTTGAGGTGTAGAAGCTTAGTTTAAGATAGTCCCATTTGTCTATCTCTGTTTTCACTTGATTGGCCAGTGGCATGACATCTTTGAAGATACCATTAGCTTCAACATCATGGAGGGTTTTGCCAACTTTGTCTTTAATATACCTGATGGATTCCAGTCTGATGTTTAGATCTTTAATCCATTTTGATCTTACTTTTCTACATGGCGTTAGGTAGTGATCTGAGCCCTTTTTTTTTGCATGTAACTGTCCGGTTTTGCCAGTACAATTTGTGAAAGAGGTTTTCCTTACTCTGCTTCACATTTCTTGCTCCCTTATCATAGATTAGATGGTCATATGTTTGGGGGGAGATGTCACTATATTCAACCCTGTTCCATTGGTCTGCAGCTCTGTCTTTGTTCCATTACCATGCTGTTTTAATTATTACTGCTTTGTAGTAGAGTTTGAAGTTTGGGAGGTTGATTCCTCCCATTTTCTTTTTCCCAAGAATTGCTTTAGCTATTCGTGGGGGCCTATTGTTCTGTATGAATTGTTACTTTGGTTGGCATATCAAATACGTCATGAGCAGCTTGCCAGACTTTGCCATGCAGGAGAAATACTCTCGGTAGCTTGCCGGGCTCTCCGAGAGGGGCAGCAGAATTGAACTTGGGTCAGCCATGTTGGCTGCATGCAAGGCAAACACTCTACCTGCTGGGCTATTGCTCCATCCTAGGCAGAAGGAAAGACATGATAAAACTTAGAGCAGAAATCAATGACGTGGAAACCAAAAAAAAATCTGAAAGATCAATGAAACCAAGAGCTGGTTCTTCAAGAAAATAAATAAGATAGAGAAATCACTAGCAACAGTCACAAAGAAAAAGAGAGAGAGAGAGAACCCTAATAAACCAAATCAGAAATGAGAAGAGGGATATTACAACAGAAACCAAAGAAATGCAAAAGATCATGAGAGACTACTTTGAAAGTTTGTATGCCATGAAACAAGAGAACCTAGAAGAAATGGATAAATTCCTGGATTGCTATAATCTCCCAAGGCTGAATCAAGAAGATATAGAGTACCTGAATAGACCTAGTCACATCAAGGAAATTGAAACTGTAATCAAAAGTCTTCCCCAAAACAAAAGCCCAGGTCTAGATGGATTTACTAGCGAATTTTTCCAAGCATTTAAAGTGGACCTATTGCCAGTTCTTCTCAAGCTTTTCCAGGAAATTGAAGAAACAGAAACTCTCCCAAACAGTTTCTATGAAGCCCATATCTCTCTCATAGCAAAAGAAAACAAAGACAGCACAAGAATAGAAAACTACAGGCCAATATCCCTGATGAACATGGATGTGAAGATTCTCAACAAAATACTAGCAAATAGAATTCAACAACTCATCAAAAAGATCATACACCATGACCAAGTGGGATTCATCCCAGCGATGCAAGGATGGTTTTACATTTAGAAATCAATCAACATAGTCCATCATATCAACAAAAGAAAAGATAAAAAACATATGATCATATCAATAGATGCAGAGAAAGCATTTGGCAAGATCCAGCACCTGTTTATGATGAAAACCCGAGCCAAAATGGATATAGAGGGGACTTTCCTCAATATAATTAGAGCCATCTACCACAAACCTACAGCAAGCATCATCCTCAATGTGGAAAAACTGAGAACCTTTCCCCTAAGATCAGGAACAAGACAAGGATGCCCACTCTCTCCGCTGCTGTTCAATATAGTACTGGAAGTACTTGCAATAGCAATTAGGGAAAAAAAAAGATATTGAATGGCATCCAGATAGGAAAGGAAGAAATCAAACTCTCACTATTTGTAGATGATATGATATTATACTTAGAGAACCCTAAAACCTCTACCAAGAAATTCCTAGAAACAATAAACTTGTATAGTAAAGTTGCAGGCTATAAAATCAATACCCAAAAGTCCATTGCTTTCCTATGTGCAAATAGTGAGTGAGAAGAAAGTGACATGAAAAAAAAATCCCTTTCACAATTGTGCCCCAGAAAATCGACTGCCTAGGAATCAGCTTAATCAAGGTGCTTAATTTTAAAACTTTGAATTCACTTTTAAAACTTTGGATTTCACTTTTCAAAGGCAATGTGTATGGTACTGGGACTTCTGAATAGTACAAATTTGCTCCATGTGCCACTTGACTAGTTTTACTCTGGCTGTCGCTCACATGGGTTATATGGAACATGTGTATATGTTCACTGTGTATCAAGTATTAAATTAAATATGTGGAGAAAAATTCACAAAGTTACCTCAGCCTGTGCAGATCTCATGATCCACTTTGTAAGACATATATTTTTTCATTGTAGATTCAAGGAAGCTTGGCAAAACCATTTAAATAGTGTGCACCTTAAGAATGAATTATCATGAGGTATAGACATTAAATCTCTTCTTCTAGGTCAGAATGTTAGAGCTATTTT